TTCTAATCAAAATGAATCCATGAACAATAAGATCGTCCGCAATGTTGGCAACCCCAGCACAACCCCTTAACACGTCTCTGATGATTTGCTGATACTTTTCTGGTGCCGATGTCACCCCAAACATCAACCGCTTGTACCGATACAGCCCTCGGTGCGTGACGAAAGTAGTAATGTGACGACTTTCCTCGCTGAGCAGGATCTGGTGAAAACCCCACTTGAGATCAATCTTGCTAAACATAGTACTTCCATTCAAGTCATGTAACAGCTCCTCGACGGTTGGAATTGGATGCCGCTCCCTGACGATTGCTTCATTCGCTCGGCGCATGTCAACACAGACCCTCACGTCACCGTCACCTTTGGGAACAACCACCAATGGCGATATCCATCCTGACGGCCCTTCCGGCACTTCCTCTATGATATCCAGCCTCAAAAGTTCATCAAGCTTTGCATCAACCTTCTCTCGCAACCCAAAAGGAATCCTACGTACATGCTGCGCTACAGGCTTCACTGACTCATCAACATGCAGTTTTAATTCGTAACCCTTCAAAAGACCAACACCACTAAATAACTCCTTGTATTTTCCTCTAATGCTGCCGTCTGGTCGTCCTCCGTCAACACTGTTTGCCTGAAAAGGACCAACACGTAGCAGGTTTAGCACCTCGGCAGTTTCGCGCCCCAACAGCGTACGACCATCGCCTTCAACCACTATAAATTCAGCCTTACTTCCGTCTTTAAACTCACACCCAGCGTGCGTGACATCTGCTGTAAAAGTTCCTAGGGTCGATAAAGGTTCTACGCCACCATAAGCAAAAATTTCTTTCGCAGACTTCCGAGATTCACACTTGATCCCCTTCTGCTTTAGTAATTCCCAGGTCCGCTGTCCCATAACATTACATGAAGCTCCCGAATCAATAAGAACATCTGGTACGTACACACCACCGATGATCAGCGTTACCAACGCACTTCTTTCTTCCCTGTGGTCATCCAACTGTTCCACTGAAAAGGCATAATCGGGTCTTGACTGACGACCTGGTCTTGCAAAATCTTTTTTGTCTTCTTCTCGGAGGGCAGGTCTTCGAGTCACTAGATTTGCTTCTTGCCCTAGTCCTCCACGTCCACGTCCACGTCCACCCCGACCAAATCCACCAGCACCCCTGCCACCCCGACCATGTTCACCTCTGCTATTCCTCGTTCCTTTGAATCCCGACTGGGCGCCGCCTCGCTGAATGAGATGGGGCATTTGACTTTGAAATGGCTTATCGTACCGCATTTTTCCGCAAGTCTGACCTCGCGCCAGGCACCTCCAATCCTGAATAAAGTGTACTTCCCGTCCGCAACTAAAGCACGTCTTCAATTTTCTGGGATTCTTGTCTCCATCCACTTTTCCCCTTACTGCATTGACCCGGTCTACCTGGTCCGTGTTGTATTGTTTCAGTTGTCTATCAACTGCTTCTTGGGATCTCGCAACCCGCAACAAATCACCCAAAGTAACAGTCCCTTCTTTTTCCAGGAACTTCCGGTGCAAGTGGCTGGAGTAACACTTGTCTATGAGTTGATCCAGAATGTAGTCGTCCTCGTTGATGCCAAACTCACAAGTCGCTGCTCGCTGACGCAATCTGCACACAAACTGGTCCACAGTTTCTCCGCTATCCTGCGAAATTTGTCTTAACAAATGTCTCTCAAAAGGAATGTTTGACTTGGGAACAAAATAATTGTCAAGTACCTGAAGTGCTGCCTGAAAATCACATCCTCGCCATCACCGGATAATGTGAAATAAATTTCTTGAACGTCCATACCAGCAACGTGCAACAGAAGAGCTCGCTTTTGAGCGTCGTTCGAAACACCTTTTCCCGTCACGTACAAATCAAACGCTGGCTTCCATCTCTTCCACCGTCTGACTTAAATTGTGTGCCTCTCCCTTCGGATTAAATGGTTCCAATCCACTGACATCTAAAGCAACTGAAGCCATTCCAGAACCATTAACAGAACCGCCAACAGCACCGCTTGTCGTTTCGTCTGATCCGCCGCGTCCCGGCATCTCTGAAATAAATCCCTAGTGAAATCACTTACGAATTCCCGGACGAAACTCGTGAAACCTTCGACAAATCCTCGAAATCCTCGAAGTCCTCAAAATCTTCAAAATTCTCAAAAGCCTCGTCGCCAATGTAGTACACAGCGGTTAAAATGAAATCGGTTTTATTCACGTACCTAAGAGAACTAGCTAAATAATTAAACAGACGCTGTATATATATGCAAGTCTCGAGGGTATTACTTCACACCATCACGCATCACACTACATCGTGCATATTACATACTCGTTTGCATCCTATACACTACAATACGATAATAACAGCTTTATTAACGTGTCAAGATAATAGCAGTTGCCCACTAAGTAAGGATACCGGCCTATCTACAATGTTAATGAAAATAAATAATCCCCCTGTAGTCCCCTGTATAATTCCCCTATATCATTCCACCCTATGCATGAGCCTAAAAAATATACAAATATAAGATTACGATACATGGCGATTACGTTTTCATGTTCCCACCAATAACGTAGCTCCATTCTCTGCCTTTAAAAGCACACACAACCCACAACTCCTCTATTCGCACCGACGAAGGGCTAACGCTCGAAACGTCAACTTTTGTAATCGTTACGGTGGCCAATTCACCACTTCAACTTTATTGATATATCCTAACTATATAAATTGACCGATAACTAATATTAAACAATTCTTTATTTACCAATCAATCATATCCTTACTTTGTAGCAACACTATTTGATGTATAACTAAGCCGTGAGCAATATGAAGCGAAATTTTAGTTCTTGTTAACTCTTTACCATCAATCTAAGCATGCATGGGGTCAAAAAAGACCCATTACTGTTGTTATTTGTTTCTTGTTGAAATTAAGAGACAACATTATGTAAGTGTGTACATTGCAAGGCTGTTTGATGTGACTCTTATTGCAGCCTAGAACACCCACAATGATTCCCGATTTCCATTGCAGTGAACCGTTCATATAACAACAAATCCCAAAAATCCAGCATTCTGCTCCAAGAGGAACACTGAAAAATTGTCGATCTTTCAAGATCAAAATTTTCTCAAGAAATCAAAAGTTTGCATTCAAAACACACCTCAGGGCCAGATCTTGCTGTTTGGCTGGAAGATACCTTCTCACTTTATCCGCTAACCCTTGTTCCTCATTTTGACGAAAGCTAGTGTCGCAAACACAACCTTTGCCTCGTTTATGACCGAAAAGATTTCTGTATCGGGCCACCCAGTACTACCAGCAAAATATCACATCGATCGAGACTTTTTCCACTCAAAACTGGCCCAAAAAGCCTTGGTAGGTCCTGGTAGCCATCCACAGATGGGCCAGAGACACGACTTCACTTGTGAACTCACCAAGCTTGCATGAAAGCATTTTGGCGGTCCAGTCTACATGAAACCACCTCTCACCTCCGTTTTCTTTCAGAGGCTTGTCTCTACCCACATTCCAGCTTAATGATGCTGTCCTGAGGGCTTCTGTAGAGGGAAAATGGCTCGAAAAACACTTATAAACGCGAGAAAACGAATTGATTTGAACGCATCCAAACACTAGCCGGGGAGTTAGGTCACGTGACCCCAAAGTCTCAACCCACGGTGTCTCAAAACTGCAAATATTGTAAGGGATACTTCATATAAAGACAAAAAAGTCAGCTTAAGTTTTGTATGGCCAAATTATAACGTCTTTTGCCGGATGGTAAAGAGTTAAAGGCTAAAAGTTTCTAAAGAAACTGTGGTGCTGCGTCGGTGGGGGTAACAAGGTCATTTGGTTATATCAACTCAGTTGAAATTGTAAATTGGCCATCGCAACGAATAAAAAAGCTGACCTTTCGAGCGTTAGCCCTTCGTCCTTTCTTCCCCTGGTTGTCTAACTGAACGGGCAAGATAGACCCATTTTCCCCGCTCGCAATTGCCCTGTTTGTTCTTGAATAGGAAAAAAATTGCGTGGAGCAGCCTTGCTAAGTCCATAATTTTTGGACACTATCGGCAAAGGAATCGTGAAAGCGGTAGAAGACAGTCATAGCAAAAAAGAAAATTAATAAACGGCTCTCGAAGGTTTACAGTGTGCTACAAACACAATTAGCTTTCTTTCCCAGTTCTTGAAATAAATAAATCATTCTTGGATCTTATCAAAGAGAAATATTTCTAATCTATAAGAGATCCTTCATTTGCCAAGCCTGTTGGGTCAAGAAGGGCTGGATATTCGCCTCTTTGGCGTTCTTTATGGACTATCACTAAGTCTCGATCATTATAAAAGCAGAGAAAAAGATACTCGCTGAATATCCAGCCCTCTTCACCACACGCTTGAACAAGAATGCATATTTATTTGCATTCAAGGTTGACAAGATAAGTTTTTCTTTCAGTTTCCAACTTCTGGTTTCACTAATCAAACGATCAGGAAACTGAACGAGGCACGTGTTTGATTATAAAGATGAGTTGCCTTTCTGATATAGTTCTATGGCTTCCGCCCATTATTTTCACTGTTCTTGAATGAATTCACGGTTTTATTCTGTCAGAAAATATGAGAAGTTAAACAGGTTTCACTGACTACCCAAAATAAGCTTATGTGGTGGTCGAAAAATAATAGAAAAATTTACCGTGACGGAAATCAAATACTCAACTCAATGAATTGGAAAGCGAATTTTTATTTCCGAGATGCTTTTGATACAGTTCATCTGAACTGAGCGCAGATAAAACATCACCAAAAGGTATGGGGGGGTCAATCAATGTTGATATGAACCAGTTTGAAATTTTTTATTTATCATTTTCCATCTAAGGGACCTGTCACCTGTCATTACTTTTTCGCAAGAGGAGGAGAATTTTGAGGATCACATGATTTAACTGCCTATGAGAGAGGGGATCAAGAGGGCTTCTGGGGAAGAACAGCAGATACCAAAAAGAAATTGACCTAAGTATCCCTCCCCTATAGGTTGGGTTTAAAAGTTGCATGTTTTCGTATATTTTCCATCACAATCTGTCCAGAATTACTGTTGTTAGGGGACAATTCATTAGCTATGGGAAAACGAAGAGAGGTAAGGACTGTTGCACTCACAATAACAAGCATGCGTGGAAAGTGAGCATTCTGTCTAAATTGTTGCAGGGAGATAGCTAGCAAGAGTCATCATCTAATTTAGTTATTTAAGTTTTCTGTATTTTTAACCGGCTCTTAATTTTTTTCTATTCAAGGAAGGCATCTGGTGAAACACAAAAAAGTACATGATGGATAACACGCGTGAAATCCTAAAGAAGATCAGGATAGGTTTGGATGTTGCCACATATCTTCTAAACACTCATCGTGGTATGCAAGCCACTCATTTGTGTAATGAATGTTTAATCTTACTCAACAAGCTAGGCTTTGATATTAACGGCCTGAATGTCTTTGAGGTAATAGTCAATTCGTATTACGCAAGCACTGGTTACACAAACGCAGTACGATACACCAACAAATTTATTACCATGTTTCACAATATTGGAAAATTAATGATTGAAGTGGGAGACAAATATCTAAGACGAAGTCGGCTTGCAGAAGCTAAGGAACTTTTTAAAGGCGCAGTTGCCATCAGAAAATCAATTGGCTACAGAATTGGACCAGCAATGACTTATGGAAGGCTAGGACTTGTGTTTGAATCACTTAGTAAATATCCGCAGAAGGCTAAAGAATATCATGAAGAGGCTCTTGCTATCGCAATAGAAATAGGAAACAGGAGAGAAGAAGGAGCCTTGGAGTTGTGTTTCAATCACTTGGTGAATATCAGAAGACTAAAGAAGATCACGAGAAAGCTCTTGCAGTTGGAAAAGATACTGGTGACAGGGAGGGAGAAGGAACGTGCTATGGGAACCTTGGAGCTGTGTTTCAATCACTTGGTGAATATCAGAAGACTAAAGAATATCACGAGAAAGCTCTTGCAGTTGGAACAGATACTGGTGACAGGGAAGGAGAAGGAACGTGCTATGGGAACCTTGGAGCTGTGTTTCAATCTCTCGGTGAATATCAGAAGGCTAAAGAATATCACTAGA